ATTCCTATAGGAATTTATGGCTGAGTAAGACTTGTTACTTGAGAGTCTACTGCTTTACATGTCCGTGCAGTACATGGATGATAGTGCAGAGCACATTATTTCCACAAAAATATTTTCTAAGAAATACTCTCTTCTTTGTTTTACGTGTTGGTGAAAAACATATGTTTCTCCTAGAACTGACTATGGTTCTTAGTGCTTCGTCTGTTGTAAATAGTGTTACAATGTAGAAACAGATTTATCTTTATGATTGTATTTGATTTTTATCAATCACACTTTTTGTGAAGTTTGAAATCGCGTGCAAATGATGATGTCATGGTTGTCCTCTTGAAAGATTCGCAAGTGCACTAAAGAACTGCCGCTGTCCAAATGGAATATACCAGCAAACAGGCTTGGCCCTCCTCAAATTTGAGGCTAACGGGTGTTTCTTTCGAGAAAATTTATTTTTATGTAGTTTATGGTAGAAATGCCAGACTTTAAAAAGAATCGCCGCGTCATTAGTTAACTCCAGGTCCAGTTGCAGGGACTCCAGGTTGGTCATGTTGATAGAAATGGGCCAGGTTGGTCACACTGATAGCAATGGGCTCAAGTACATGTTGGTGTGTATACTGAAAGCTCGACTTTTTGTCAACACTATTCACGTTTGAATGAGAATCATGTTTAATTAAACACTCTAAGTTTTAATGTTTTACATTTGAATATTGTGGTTTATCACAAATGGACAAAAGATCATATATTAGTTACTTGTAAACATAAATAATCATGTTTACAACCTAGATGGAAATGAACGGCCTATCGTGAACAGTTGTAGTTTGGTTGCACTAGTATGTGGATTGAAAGGATCACAAAGATGATAAATTTGTTTTATACTGATCGAGTAAACAAACTAGACCTCAGGTGAATTACTGAATATAATAGCTGTTACTTTGATTCACCAAACAATGTGATCCATTCTGTTGGGTCAATAATCTAATGTGTTTTGGGTAGTGATGCTATGTGTATGGTGTGTTATTCGAATATTTACAGTCATCGTGAGTGATAATCTGATCATGTCCCTGAGATGAGCTCAAGAAGGATTATTATGTTACACTCAACCGGTGTAATAATAAAGTTTTGAGTGGTGTTAGTCTCGGTTCAAGAAGTCAATTAAATATATTATCAGTAATTAAATCAATTGACATACATTATTTCTTAAACACGAGGAGGTAAGTCGGGTAATTATTATTGGAGCTTCAAATGTAATTTTGGCGCTAAATGGGGAGTATAATAATATGCTCTCTCCGAGGCGAATGAGCCAGTGGGCGCCAAATGTAATCTTCTCGGTGATTCACGGCGGCTTCTAAAAATTTGAGGACACTACCGGAATTCTCTCTCCGAGGCGAACCTTCGGTAGGTTGCCTCCGCAGCCGGTCGCTGGTCAAAGTGCTTCGATCACAAAAATTTTACATCACCGAGTAGTTCTCTCGACGTGGTTCTTCCCTTAAATTTTCAGGCAACGGTTCCGACGGGAAGGCCTCCGATCGCGGTCAACCGAAATGAATCTACAAAAATTCTGGTCAGCCTGAAGCTTCAAATCCATTTTCTCGGTGCTTCACGGTGACTACAAAAAATTCAAGGACACCACTGGAATTCTCTCGCCGAGGCGCTTCCGTCAGCATGCACCTTCGCCGGAACCGGTGAACTTTTCTGGTGGCCATTTTTGCCGGTGTGTTCACATATTTTTGCGCCATCATCTCCAATTTGCTGACGACACAGGGCGACCCATAGAAATCCGAAGACACCATTAGAATCCTCTCGCCTAGGTGCTTTCTCAGCGACACTTTCGCCGGAATGGCGAACTTTTTTGGCGATCATTGTTTTCGACGCGTTCTCGCGTTTATGTGCCGATTTCACATCCAGCCACTTCCACCCCAACCGACTCTGGCCACCTTCAGCTTCATCCAACGACTCACCTCAACTGACTCTGGCTAATCTCAGTCCGACGGATGCTCCGAATTCCTGCCAAGGTTCTTCTCTTCATATCGTAGGCCCCCGTTCCCATTTCTTTGGCCCGTACTTCATCACTTTCAACCACCTCGTCCTAATTGGATATTAAATCCCAATTGTGGATTATGGTATGAGGTCTTGAATAAATAAGGGATTCAGAACAAATGAAAAGAGGAAAGGAGATGAATATTCTCGTAAGCACTCTACTCCGAGAAGGTAAGGTAACTTGAGATAACATTCTCATGAAGCAAGTATGTGGTTAATTTAAATTATGGGACTAAAAAAATTTAAATTGGTGAGAAATGAAGAATTAGCTGGTGTATCCGGTACACTTGAAGAGGCGAACTGTATCTTACAAAGCACTAGTTAAACAAGTTATGGAATATGTTTATTTAGATCTAAAAATCCTAAATTTGATAAAGAAGATATATTGTGAGCTATGTGAAACATGAAGTTAGGCATAATGAAAATAAGGTGAAGTGGTACCAGAGTAATTTAATTTTGGTTTTTGGGTGCTCCAGTTGTGGCTTTGGTTGAATATATATGTGGGTTGTTGTTCTAAATGAGGGTAATTCATGATTGTGATGGTCATATAATTGATGCATTTATCAATTTCAATCGGTGAGCTCAAAGATATTGCATGAAATTAAATTAATGAGCTTGGTAATTGGGAGCCACTCATTGGAATTTTCAATTGGTGAGCAAGTTGCTTGAATCCAAGTATTTTGCAAGCAAAATTGTACTTTATTGAATGCAAGAGACATCTGGTACGTAGGAAGCTCTAGAAGCTGCTTATTCACTTGTGGTGAACACGAATTATGTACTTAAAGGTGTTGGCATCCGAGTTGGTAAGCTTCCTTGCGGCAACACAAATTAACGACGAAGTAGTCACGAAAGGCAGGGCTCCCAGGCTGATTTTGTTGGACACGATGCCCAGCTCGACATCATCTTCTGCCGATGGGCGGTCCGAACTTGAGAACCAACAGACAAGAACAGGCACGGAGTCCGAGCTCAGAATCAAGGGAAGCACCTGAGCACGGGGCAAAAGGGAAGAAATCCAATTTCAAGTCACAACGGAAGGTCGACTTCGACACTCTCGAAGGACCACCCCCGAGACGCATTCGATTTCAAGAAATAATAAAAAAAGATCACTTGCAACCTAATGATGGCCGATGGGATGTGCTCACCAACCCTACAGGCCTACGATCTGTAGGTCCATAGGGTGGCATGTCCGCGATAAGGGCCTGGCAATCAGCATTAAATGGCTAGTAATCATCATTTAGAGTCAACCATGCTTCATTAAATGCCCGTCATTCCGGTTTACTGTACAACATAGTATGATGTACAAAAGGGAAGAAATCCAACAAATTAAGGGCCTGGCAATCAACATTAAATAGCTATAAATAGTCCTAGGTTTTATTTACGACAAAAAAAAGAGGCAAATACAAGAGAGAAGAGACCAGAAAAACACCAAACACTGTACAAAGAATAATCATTCGCAATAAATTCAGGCAACATCGCCCAAAGGTCCGACCTGGAAGCATTGAGTGGCCGACTTCGATTCACATCTTAAACCATCTACTTTCATCATTAAACCTCTCCTATTTCCACGATTATCTTCTCGATCACTCAATTGATTCTTGATTATCCGTTGATACAAACCATATTTCAACTGTTTGGCGCTAGAAGGAGGGCTCCATAATTTGTTTGGAGTCAATTTTCAAACTTGTTAACACACATTAAAAAACCTATTCTTTTCCAGACGAAAATACCCGATGGAAACTTCCCTATCGAAAAGCCAAGAAGGCCAGCCGCTGCTCAACCGATCATGACGGCACCCGCCGTGGACTTTACGACGATGTTCCAAAACCCCGAGTTTCTAAAGGGGATGGCGAATCTCGTACCGCAATCGTGCCATCACCATCCTACAATGTAAAGTAAAGGAACTATGTTCGCATAAATAAATAAACTATGAATATACACTTGACTAACACATCTAATGCAAAATGGAATTGAGAGTAATCACAAAGTCGAGCTTCTACAGTATACTCTAACACGAGGTTGTTTGGCTTGGTCTGTGGTTGTTGGTCTTGTTACTGGTGGGGAGGAGTTTGATTTGTTTCAAGGTTATCAAAATCGCGACTTTGAGTCGTAGAATCGCCGATTCTACGACTCAAAGTCACAAAATCGATTCTAAGTCGCTCAAAATCGCAAAGGCATGTAGAATCGCTGCAGAATCGGTAGAATCGGTCAAAATCATAGAATCGGACCGATTCTACGACTTTGACCGATTCTGTGCAAAACTCAAAAAATGAACCAGATTTTAAAACTGGGCTGCGTTTAGGCACTTGGGCTGTTTTTTTTGATTTTTTTTTTTTACACAAATTGGCCCAAAGAATCATAAATATTCCCTTCTCTTGGCCCAATCCAAAACAAATTAATTAAAATAAATTTAAAAAATACCCAAAATTCCTAAAATCCCTAATTTTAATTCATTTTCCCCTAATTCTATCTGCTCTTTTGTCGCAAATCGCGACTTCTTCACCTCCATCCCTCGCCGGCCGACCGTCGTACTCCGACGTTAAACTCAAATCCATCTCTCTCTCACTTCTTCTTTGGCCTCCAATCCTCCACAATCCACAGTTCACACGGTTGTAGCCTATGACAGTCTCCGACGTTAAAATGGCTCAGCCTCGACGCCTGCGTCTTCTTCGTCGGAGCAGACTTCTCAGTAATAAAGCTTCATCGCTTTGTTTTTCTCCCGTTTAGAGGTAACCATTTATCCCTACTTATCTCCCTGTAATTTGTTTTTATCATTGTTGGAACAGGGGAAGTTCAAAGAATCACAGTTTTAGTAATTAGGAAGATTGAATTTTTTGTTGACGCCTTGATGGCCGTGACTTTGGTTCTGACTTTGGAGTTTGGACTATATGTGACGTTTGAATGGCTGTGTCTATGTATTTGTAAGTGCTAACTTTGAAGTTTGAACGCAGAGTGTTAAAATTTGAACATTTATATTTTGAAAAACAAGTGGTGGTTTTTTTTTAGTATTTTGATACATATTCTTGATGATTACCATAAAACTTGTTAAAATAATTATTTTTAGACGTTTTGAGTAGAGTCTTACGATTTTACGATTCCGATTCTGCACCCAAAATGATTCTACTTAGAATCTCAATTTTGAAAACCTTGGTGTGTTTAATTCTTTGGTTTCTGTTTTTCTGGNAAAAACTCAAGAATTTAGCTCTTATATTTAATGAAAAGGGCTTTTTAGTAAATGGGGTCCGTTTTCCGGTTTTTGGCATTTTGGCCGTAAACCTCTGCAAAACCCCTCTCTACGAGTTGCCATTTCCATGTCCTCCGTAGCCGTGACAGGTCCGTTTTCCGGTTTTTGGCATTTTGGCCGTAAACCTCTGCAAAACCCCTCTCTACGAGTTGCCATTTCCATGTCCTCCGTAGCCGTGACAGTTCGCAAATGGCTCTCTCTCTTCTCCTCCGACCAAAATCAGCTTTCCCAATCTTCAAAATCGGTAATTTATTTACCTAAAAATTCACGAAATGCCTCATTTTACGACATCTGGTAAACAAAAATAGACAAGATCAATTCTGATATTACCAGTTTAACAAGTCCCTTAACTACAATGATTTTTTTTTTTTTTTTTNTTTTTTTTTTTTTTTTGTTTGAAATATTTTCTCAGGGTTTTTGTCTGCGAGCACAAGATGTTGTTCTTCGCTGTCAGAGTTGAAGGAAGCAGCTGGTGTGGAGGAGACGGATAGCATGCCAGTGGGGCAATTTCTGGAAAAGTGAGTTTTGTTGTTATTTTATTATATTGATATTTTGTGTATCCGTTTTCAAGAAAGCAATTATCACTTCACCTATGGAATAATTTGATTAATCTCTCATGTGTGTGTGTGTGTGTATTGGATGTGGTGTAAGATGAAATGATTAGTTTAGTGTTGCGGAAAGCGCTAAGTTTAAGTAAAACCAGAGTAGGTCCGAACGGCGTTATATGTATGGTATGGATAAGATTTAATTGACATAACTGGAGGACGTACATAGCCTATTGTTTGTATGTAACGTAGGTCTGGCCAAGAGAGCCTAACGTGTATGGGGACTTTTAAAATCTTGGTTTGGAAAGATAATCCAGGTTGCAAATAAAGTAATTGGATATGAGACGGATATTTTGAATTATACCATATCCACCAAGATGGCTGGAAGTACCTTAGGATTTGAAAGTCAGTCTAATACAAATTTATTTAAAGTTCTGTTTATAATTGTGGATTTCAATTCATAGCCCCTGTTCAATCAAATCAAATCTGGCCTCAAGTAAAATGCAAGTGTCTGTTTTTATGTTTGAAGACTTCTTTTCCTCTTGTGTACAAGAATCACATTATGTTTTTGAATCATGAGATTGATGAACGGAATCATAGCTTCATGTGATGATCATCCCCATTATTTTTCTCGGTAAAATATCAAAATGATTTCAATGGGGGAACACTGGACTTAGGATTATCCTGTCATAGACCGAGACAAAAGAATTTAGGGTGACGAGGTCCTCTCTCTCTCTCTCTCAGTGTGTGTGTGTGTGTGTGTGCACATGTTTGTATCTCTATATTGAAATATCAGTTGGATTCCAGTACATTGGGCTTCCATGCCACATTATTATTTGAATGTTGGTATAGTTTACGAGCTCAATTCTTGGTTTTGGTTGGTTCATGAGATGATGAGAATTTATGAAGTTTGGATTGAGAGTGAAGGTTGTGTTTGTCTGTGGGCTGCTCATGAGCAAATGTCCTCTGTATTTATGCGTGCGTCCTATTTTTTACCGTATTTCCTTTCATTCTCTTGGATTCTTTCAAAGCATACATGTTTATATGCTGACACTCTTCATGATTAAACTCTAGGTCTTCAGAGAAGAAGCCAACGCTCGTTAGTCAAAAAGAGACAAAGTATACAACATTAGCTGATCTATTTAGGGTGCACCAATGTGGTCTAACAGAAACCCTTAAAGATTCTCAATCTACGGAAGCACTGTCAGACATGCTCTTGGATTATAATGGCACAGGTAGAAAAACTGATTTTGAGAGTTCATCTCACCCAAATGACCTCTTGCCAACTCAACCTACTAGTGTTACACAGAATGGTAAAAGCATGCATTATGAAGGCGGTCAAAAATCCTCTTTATCCAATAAAGCTAATAAATTGCTCGATTTCAAAGAGCGGTATTCAAAATCAGCTAATAATCAAGCAGCTGATGTGACAGACAAGCTTAGGAGCCCGGAATTTCTTTATGAGCCTCATCGGCTCTTAGGCGAGCCCCAACGTAAGCAAGACAGTGAAAAAGTTCCTGTCATAAAGGAATTGCTCGACTTTATAAGAAGTCATGAACCACCTAAATCTACTAGTACTGGCTGTGACAATGCGTGTGCCGCTAAAGAGAAGTCGTTAAACGGTAGTAATTTGCACGTACCCGATGACAATGACCTATTGGCCTCGGGGAATTTTGTGGACGAAGCTTCTAAGATTGAGGATGAAGACAAAAGTAATTCGGAGTTTGGACCCAAGATAAATAAGGATCAAAGACGGTTGAAAGGGACATTGCTTTCTAGAAAAAAATCAGAGGAAAATAGAGTGTTGGTAAGGTTCTTGCGTACTCACATGACTAAAAATCAGATACTCAAACATTTTCGTAGCTGGGGGACACTAGTGGATGCCAAATTTCATGATTCTGTCATGTCTCAGTATATATCTGCTGACATTTGTTTCCAGGTGAGTGAGTCTTTGACGTTCCTAGTTGTGTTGTTTTCGGTTGTTGCTCTATTTTGTCAATTTGAATGTATAACTGTATCTTAAAATGGAAAAGTATAGCATATCTGTTTGTTAAATATAAAAGGATATTATGTTCTGATTTTTCTTCAATACTTGTGCTGACAAAAGAAATATTTAAATATTTAATAATTTATCATTTATTTTCTATTCTGTAATTCATTTATCGGCTGCAGACGAGAGAAGAGCTTACTGAAGCTCTGGAAAAATTGGGATCAAGTTTAAGAAGTTGGATTATTGTCGAGTCAGCTGATTCAAGAGAGAGATTGAAAGTCCCTATACCTAGCTTGATGGGTGACCTCAATGTCCCATCTGCATTAATAAAGAAACCCACAAGGACGATAAAGATAGAAAATTTAACCAACGAAATAAGTTCATGTCATATTAAAGAAGCTCTGGCCTTCTGTGGGAGCAATGTATCTGGTTACGTTTTGGGCTTAACACCTACTGTTGCTTATGTGGAATTTGAGGTAAACGTATCTTCATTTTTTCCTTCGCTTGGGTCAGGATGGCCTCATGTTAACCCTTTATTTTTCATTTAAAAGCTTCTGGTGGGTGAATATCTTCAACTAAAATTAACTTTGTGCTTCCCTTGGCAAATTGGCCGCTCACCAAACAATTGTTTTTTCTATCCAGATATTTCAAAAACATGTTATTTTACTTAGAATCACCTCCACTTTGAACATTTGGTTTGACAATGTTTTCATGATAAATGGAAAAAAGAAGAAGGGAATTGGACGAGTAAACTTAAGAGTGTCTTAAAAACCTTTTCAAAATTGGCTAAAACACATTTTATCATGCCTAGATGGCTAAGAAACTTGGACTATTTAATTTTTACCAATAATTTTTCTATAGACTACAGAGGCGATTTTTATATCTATTGGAATCTCCAATTATTTTTTAATTGGCCATTTTTAGACTTTGAGAAGATGTGTTGGTTGGTTTCAGACAGAAACGGGCAAGGAAAGGGCTCTTGCTGAACGATTCATCAATGTTTTGGGAAGGCAATTGTTAATGCAAAGAATTGACATCCCAAGAACAACAGCTGTTAGGATTTCAAGCACGTTGGCCTTGCGGCAAGACACTCTCCATTCAGTATGTGAATCTCTAGGAATTGTCAGGTCGACTGTCCAGAGAAGGTTTGATATAATTGATGTGCACTTTGGGATTGAGGATTGGCCAAACATGTTAAAAATTCTCAACAGGTGCTTACTGTATACTGAAACACCAGCTATTTCTGCCTTTAACCCTACACACACACANCAAAAAAAAAAAAAAAAGAGAAGGAAAAAAGAAAACCACAGTTCTGTTTAGAATTACAAACTTCCTCTTCACAACTGTTTCTCCTTTATCTCCTTTACATATAGGCTCATGAGGACAGGGTATTAATTTGTATGGTTTGCAAAAAATAGCCTCAGTTTGATATCTGTAATTGAATCATTTTAATTTGCAGTTTGAATGGACTTGAAATCGACGGCATACGAGTGAGAGCTGAGCCTGCGCCAGTTTACCCGCATGATGTGCTATTAGCGCTTTGGCATCAGCCAGAGGGAAGAAAGCATCTGAAAGCAACAATGCAAGTTCTGTTGCGTAAATTGAGAGAGGACACACTGGACACATCTGAATTAGCTTCCTTACAAGCCCTCTTTGTTGATAAAGTTTGATTTTGCAGGTAGAGTAGAAAAATTAGATGTCGTAGCTTTGGTTCAATGCCATATTACGTGTCAAATGAGGACCCACTCGTATTATGAGTACAGTCTTAATGGGGAAAAGTTGAGTGTTAGTTTAGTTTTGGACTTTTGGTGATGTAAATGAGTGATGCATGCAATGACTAGCAGTTTAGTTAAAGCTATGGCTGATTTTTTTAGCATAACAGTCGCATAATGGCTCGGATTTTACTAGGAAAGCACGTCTTCAAATAGTTGTTTTCTGCATGGCTATGAAGTAATGATTATGAGGCAACTTGAAACGTGTATGAAAAAACTTAGACCCGCTTCACAGCCTGGTGGAAATAGTTATTTCCAATTATTATTTTACGTATCTCATGTCATGTTAATCTACATTCCACATTAAAGATACGATTGTCGTATTTCCTTGTCAAGTTAACTCTCCATGCCACATATTTAAAAATGGGCATGAAGCCATTCTTTCAAGTATTGGTTAGTATGGCAGTAAATGTGTTACACCATCTGGAAAGCGTTTCAAAGCAGAGCATACCGTACAGTTGGAGAAAGGAAAAATTCACTTTTGCTATCTAAAATATACCACCTTATATTTTTACCCGAAGTTCCAACTTAATCAATTTTGGTCACCGTAATTTAAACATTTATCGCTTT